CATGTTGAAGTTCATTTTCATGCTGGAAGGAAAACCTCCAACCAAATCACAGCTCTTCTGCTGCCTCTAACAGAGTTGTCCCTTTTTTAGTTCAGTCAGCTTTCACCTCCCTGTTAACGAAAGACGTCCCTCAGCATAGTGCATCCATCCCCATGCTTCATTATTGGAGGCTTTCTTCAGGGAAATGTGGAGTTTTATACAAACAGGCCTTTTTATGGCTCACTTGCTGCAACTTCTTAGGTTAAACTTTATCCTCAATGTTACACCCTTATATTTTTATTCAAAGTCTGAAGAGCTTACTAATAAAGACCTGATGTCTTCTGAATTGCAACAGAAGAGGTTACCTCTGTATAAGGTAAAGATTTCTAGCACAATATATAAATAAGCGTTAGTATAATTTACCTGCCTTTGGGGTGATCAGTTTGTGAATTAAATTATTGGTGAAAATTTTTTTTTAAATTATGTTTAATAAATGCAATTAACAAAAATATAGGAATAGAGTTTACAGATCATTTATAAATTACAAACATATTAATGGCAACTTTAAAGCTTATTTAAAAATGGTCTACATTTTTGCTAAACTTGCTACAAAAATTTAATTCATGATCATTTACAGATTTACAAAACAAATGAAATTGATTTCACTTGAAGTGCATTGTGCTTCTATATAAATTGTAGATTGGTTGCAGTCTGGTCCACTTTGGAATAACAAGCTGCCTTCAGGGGATGATGTAGTCTTTATACTGCTGCTGAGGCTGCTCATCAATGTATTTCTTTATGTACCAGCAGGAGACATGAGCCTTTAGGTTCTCCTCTACAAGAAAATCCATGGCTGCCTGCAAAATAACACAACTTTAGAAGGTGACCTGACCGCTGACTGATCCCTCAGTTTAGAAGTCCTACCTTTGACAACACTGCTGCAATGCCTTGGCCTCGAAACGTCTCAGGAACGAATGTGGACATGAGGTCCACCTCCTTCTGGCCTGTGAACTTGTATTTCAGCACCGCGCAGTCATCGGCTCCTGGAAAAACACAACAAAAACTTTTAAAGTATTTCTCAAGATCTACAAACATGCAACACAACAGTTCATATGAGTCCATATGAACAAAATGCATTAAAAATATGTGTCATATTTCTTCCATATATCAGCCGAACTACAGTTCGGGTTGACCCAGTCAGTTTAACATATGGGTTATGAACTAAACTTTCGCAGAACTTTTTAAAAATCTAAAATGATAGAAATCTCAAGGGAATTCGGCACAGTTGGCAGAATCGTTTCCTCAATCAAAACAACACATCTCCTACTGAGATTAAAAGTAATCTCTAAAGAAATAAAATGAGATTATTTGCTCCATGTGTTTCATGAGGCCAGAAGTGGACCCTGGACTCTCCTGTTGATCCTAACCAGGCTTCTGAACCCACCAACCCGGCAGAGAGGTTACCTTCGCCGCTTCCCGCGGTGATGGTGAAGCGGTGGTTCTGTCGGTCATGTTTCACCGTAAACCGTCCGCTGCAGCTGGAGGCGCTGGTGGAGGTTTGGCAGGAAGAGACCAGGCGGGTCAATTCAAAGAGTCTAGAAGTTAATTTAGAGGCCATTTAACTCAAGCAGGGAAAACATACGAGATGCATGCGCGGCGTGACCGAGAGGTCGTCCTGCAACTGGTCCACCAGAGGGCGCAAAAGATCAGAGTAAGGCACATCTGACCTTGAAAACATTTAAATTAAACAAACTTAACAAAGAAACATTAAAATGTCTGACCCAAAATTACAATAATATAATATTTGTTTATTTATAGATCAGTCATAAATAAACTAACATTAATGTTTAGATTTTTTTAGAATATAAAAAAAATATTAGAAAAAGAAAACCTCTCCATTGTCAGAACTTAGATGAAGGACCCGGAACTCAGGCAGACAGAACTGAATTGATTTAAAAAAAAAAAAAAAAAGCATTTATTAACTGTAAGCTGTAGCGGGAGAAACTCAGGTTAGTGAACACGAAACTCTGACAGGGAACGATGGTGAGCAAGTGAGTCACTAACCTGGTTTTAAAGTTGAGACTGAGCCCAGAGGAAGGAGTGGAAACCAGCCGTATAATTCTTCACAGCATGTTGCGCAAGCCGCCCAGAAAGTTCCAGGTTTGGAAGCAGAGCAGACTGATGAGCCAGAAGAAAAGGAGTATCCGGAGGGAGAATCCAAAGTCTGTGCGGAAGCAGATGTCCAGGCCAGAAGATCAGAGCTCCAAAGAGGTACCAAAGGGAAATCCAACCCGGGGTCAGGAGACAGGTCCGAGGTCGTTAGCACGCAGAATCCAATAGAAGTCCAAAGACCGGTCAGGTAAATCAGGCAAACTCAGAAGTCCAGGAGCAGAAACTAGTCAGGATCAGCGAATCAAAAACACATTGAGTAAACTAGAGAACTCTCACACACAGTTCAAATAATCTGGCACTGATGGCTGGGAACAAGCAGTTTAAATAGGAACTGGAACAGGTGGATCTGAAGAGTGAAAATGAAATCTGGGTGAAGCTTGGCAGGTGGAAGACATAAACCAATAATCCAGTCATCA